TTTTGTTACAGGGTGACGGGCGCAGTGGCAGTGCCCCTCGGGTCTTTGTGATATCTACGGGAATATGTACTGAAATAAGGGGCTCTACGACCTCGCCAGCGAGAATGGTTGTTCTTTTTTTTTTATACATGACAGGCAAATGACTCCACTCCACCTGATGTTAAGTGGAAAGTGGTATCCAAACGCGAAGGAACCTAGTGCAGCGATGAAACCCTCACTGCACTAGCCACCTCCACCCTGCCTGCCTACAATATGCCTCTTTACGTTTCGTATGGATCTGACCTTTAAAGTGGCGAGAGTGATAGAATCGTCAGGTTCGTTGAGGACTTCCCTTGGCTGACGGGTCCCACGAACGTGAACTCGTTCAAAACGGCTGGCCATATTTATACCGCACCACCCCCACTATAACCCTCGATATAATTTGACAAAACCGGCATACAGGTGATCACGCAACGTTCAATTGTTCATTTATTAAACATCCCCGGAATCGGGAATCTGTTAAACTTTTCCGGGTGCTTATGCTCCCTTGGGTACACTAAAAAGTCCGGGCAGTCCAACCTATCGTACAATGCGTACAGTAAATTTAAGACTATTGAAGGCTAAATTGAAAAGACGTTTACCTTAAAAAAATCCGCGTGACTGGTTGTTGCAGTGCCACGCAGAGCCTTAAATCACTAACATCTGTTGGGCACTGCCACTGTGTCCATCACCCTGAGACATGAGTTGAAAAATTCCATGTACCTGTCTGTCACCAGAACGCTTATCATTTAAAACAGGAACGCAGTAATGCTCACGTTATTGTTTGGCGGCAGAAGTAGGTGGCAGTACTTCCCTGGACGAACTCGTTCACAAGAAGCTCTACTGCTACTAAAATGCTTGCCTGCTGTGTAGAATCTAGTTCATTCACTTCTCACATACTTTATCAACGAAAGAAATTGTGAAGGCTTAGAAAGCTGTGAAAATGCGAGTAAAGTCCTAACAAGCATTGGACCAGACTTCAGGCTCACTTACTGGAGACGTACTCAACGGTAAGTATAGTTGACAATTAGGTACCTAATGACAAATAATGTTTCTTTAAAGTAAATAGGAAAGTAATGATATAAATCGACATATTGCGCAAAAATCAACCATGTTATTATGTAATTTCTATAATAGTTTTTTCTTCGTAGCGATCTGAACACTTTACCGCTTCAGGGACCTGATAATTTTCTCAAAATGCTGTTTGCTAAGTCGCTCTGAAACTTTAAAATTCACCCTTATTATGTAACCCATACGGCGCTTTAAACCTTTTACTTCTCCACTGACGACGTCACCTCTGAAGGTGTCAAATACAAACGAAAATTGTCTATAGACAATGCACATAGTTCACGTACCAAAGGATTCGGGTATAAGCAATAGCTACGAGCCTTTACCATACCAGCATAAGTAGACCTGCAGTATCGATATTATGTATATCGAAGTCTATAGCTACGTGTTCGCAGAGTAGGGGGAGGGGTGGGGGCGCGGGGGTGGTGAGCAAATACGAATGGCTGCATACAATGACGGCCAAAGATCGCATCCCGGCCGGCACGTGTAAGCCCAGTGCCGAATTTGGGACATAAACAACTCCATTTGTACAACGGATACTTATATAGAACAAAATTATCTGTGTGGTATTTATTTATGTAAAAATGGAATGTTTAGAAGTATCGTCACACTTAATGCACTTCAGGTAAGGTATCTTGCTCACTTTTCAAAAGCGAACCTCGATTCTGAATTGGACATAGGCTAAAGTTCAACATGTATACTGTTATGACCACCTCGGTGGGCCAACGGTTGCATTGTAGGCAACTTTTCAAAATTTTTTCGCGTCTGTTTGCTCTGGAACTCATATTAGAGGGCACATTTGAGACTAGGTGATGATTGGTGTGGGAGTCTAGCTATTTATTATTATTAAAAAGTGTTGCTATGGTAAACTGAACATAATAATAATAAAATTAGTTTCCTGAGAATATTTGCCAAATGTCATTTACACTTCGAAGTGAAACGGTATGATCGTCATGTCATATAATAATATGTAATAGCCACAAATAATAATGTAATAACAAAATAGTGTCCTAATAAATTACCAACGTAAGATTAAAATAACAATTTCTTGGAAATAAATTCTTCAGCAGAAATCATTATTCAATAAAAGAACAGACTTTTAATTTTCGTAGTATCAGGGGTAGGATTTCTCCCTCGTTACGAGTTCAGTGGACAGATAGCGGATTTTTTCCCGCGTTTCGCTATGGTTGGCCTCCATCCGAACACAGCACAAAAATATTATTCTAATTAAATAATAACTTCCAAGAGAATGGTTCAAAGATTCTACGAACGAAAGGAAAGTTGTAAAATTTCACATATGCACATAGTGTTCTAAATTTCCTATACGTTTTATAAATTAAGACTTTGATCACATGTCTGCCGTAACATATCCGTTTTAAATAGCAACAGATAGAGAACAAAATTCTCTTTAAAAAAAACAGTTAAAATTAGTTAACGAGTTCGACTTATCTTATACTTACCCTAACGCATAACTGAAATATCATTAACCAATTTCAATTTTCTAAAACTGGGCTATGGTTTTTTATGATATCTCAAAATATTATTTTATCACTTTGCCGCGTTTTCGTTAGCAGACGGCAGATGTGGCTTTACTTACTAACAAAGGATACGAAATGTGTGATACTTGAAGACTGTTTGGTGGAATATAAATATACTATTATTTGTTGTATACATTACGACGTAAATGCATGCCGAGATACTACACAATAGGGGCCTCTCGAACAGCCGATCATGTCACTGTTTATCACCTAGGGTTGCTCCAAATTATGCCAAAATATGGAATGACAAGTCATTCATTTTCCTCCTGGAATATTACGATATTTATTAAACATTCAGACGAAAATGTTCACAATAGCAATTTGACAAGTAATCCAGGGTAGGGGTTTCAAATTATTTGCACCTTATGTCGCACCCGGCGAAGGAGAGCTATAAATTGTTACATTACATCGATACATTACGCCAACTTTACTTTTTAATATTTTTGTAAACAGGCATTTTTTTATTAAATAGGCAGCAAGCAAGGATAAGGCCCGCCTGATGGAAAGCGGTCACCATGGCCTATGAACGCCATATTTATTTACTAATATTATGCTCCCTGAATTTTGTGGAAAAAAATAAAGAAACAAAATTCTAAAAAAAAATAAAATAATAAAGAACAAAAAATAAAAAGAGAACAAGGTCCAAAAATTAAGTTGGCGTAATATTCATTGGAGGTATCGATATAATTTGTTTTATATACCTAGTTTATATGCCTAGTTTATAACTTTCATGTGATACACTAGGCTTTATTGGGCAAAAAACCTGTTACTATTTGTTGAATCGGCTCTCCAAAAGCGCCGTCCAGACCTGAAAGCTGTAGTTTAGAATACGATGGAACTGACATGCACATTGTACAAAAGTTCCTAAATAAACAAAGATTAAAAAAATGTGTTAGAAACACTTTTGATCTATGAAGATTTGGCTTAATTTTATTAAGAGTACATGTTGTATTGTTCGTGAATATTTTGGAATTCAAATTGTATTTATATTATCTATTTTAATTTTACTTCGTGTGTGTGTGTGTTTGATATTTTCTTGTGTGTTCTTAACTATAACGACTTACTGCATAATATTAGAAGGTTAATGTACTATACAGTCCTCTGTTGCCAAGTCACACACTCATTTTGTCGTACTTGTTTTATTAATAATTCGTGTTTTCTTTTTTAAGACCTTTTTACAAACAAAAAATGCTAAGGTTAATAAAAGGGCTTAAACTATAGCGCAAGTACCTCCACATACAGAATACACACACCCACACAGAACACAAACACACTCCCACACACATTATCATATAGATATCTGACTCCAGAGGTTTACAACGACCGAGTGTTGCCTAACGGATTTATCTATGTGTTTTTAGCAGCAGCTCCTTACTTTTGCACCGAAAACATCAATGCAAATACTGCAATAAAAAATTCGCATTTTAACCGTGAACATGGAGGAAGCTACTGCATTACTTGTCACAAATATTTACGCAAATGATAAAAACTGGTAGGAAGTTATCAAGGCACTAGTGCGGTACTAGTACCGCAATAAGTTATTTATATATCTACGCGATAATAATACACTCTGTCCATAAAAAGTTCCATCCAAATCAATAGAAGTTTGTGTCAAAACCACATCTTACGGCACATTACAAGAAAATGTTTAACTAAATTGAGAATAAACCTGGAGGACCTAACATCGTCACTATCTTTTCATGGTAAATTTCCGTAACCTAAGACCTAATATAGCTACAACTGCTTACATTATTACATTCATTTTTTATCTTTATTTTTAGTCTATGACCGTTTGCATTGATTAAATTGGCTATCGCAGTCAAAGTTGTAAATATAATCTCATTTATGTACACTTCTTTGTGTACAAAAACTGGTGTAGGTAGCAAATTTGAAAATTTTCCAATGCGGCCCTGTAATCGCATTGTGCGATAACGTCATTCACGCACACAATAAAACGCATCGCCGAATTTCGTGGATGTATTTTTCTAGGCAGCGTCTCTGTGTGTGTTACACTGCCGGCGTCGAGCGAGATAGCGATGTTGAGTTCGGCAGGCGTGTGAGCGAGACACGTATAGGAGTTATATAACGCATTATTTTTATAATTAACAGGCAAAAATTTAGAGATACGACCGTGCGGCCATGGGCGCGGACAGCGACCTCAGCCGAAATTTGCACAGAACAGATGTGGGCGACCTCGAATGGCTAGTTGCAAGCCGCAGGCCGCTCACGCCCGCACACTGATGTTAGTTTGTTACGCACACATTCGCGCGGGAGGGGGAAAATTTGCGACTTCCGCGTATCTACCTGTCGGCAAATAGACAAAGGCTTGCACCCCTTCTGATTACCAGAATTGCAAGCTGTAATCAATAATTTTGCATCACACATGAATACAAAGGGTATGTTTTTGTACAACATGGACTTAACTAAAAAATAGATCTTTTTCTTTGAATTGTAGTCGTCATCGGAAGATTTAATAATATAGTAACAGTGGTGCTTCTTGTGAAAGAGTTCGTCCAGGGAAGTACTGCCTCCTTACCTATTTCTGTTGCCAAGCAGTAATGTCAACATTACTGCGTTTCGGTTTTAAACGGTAAGGGTGCTGGTGAAATTACAGGCACTTGAGACTAGTCAACTTATGTCTCAGGGTGATGGGCGCAATGGCAGTGCCCCTCAGACCTTTGCAATTTAAAGCTCTGAGTGGCACTGCAACTGCTCGTACAGGCGTGTTTAAAATAGAATGAAAACTCGCAAAACACATTTTTACATAACTTGTTTTACTGGTCTTTGATGAAGCAAAACATAGGCAAAATACATGTAAAATTTGAACACTGCCTTAGATACGACAGAAAGGAGCTCGGACTAGATAAATCCTGTACTATGGCATTCCTGTCACCCATTCTCTTTAAAAGTAAATAAATAACGCGATGAGTGTGTGCGCATTGGAAAATTGTGCGTTTCCGCTTTGGAAAATTTTCTACCTACACCAGTTTTACACAAAGAAGTCTCCGTTAGCGAGATTATATTTACAACTTTGACTAAGATAGCCAATTTCATTAATGCAAACGGTCATAACCCAATAATAAAAACAAAAAATGCTTGTATTTAGTATTTAATTCATGCTATGTTAGGACTTAGGTAGTAGAAATGTATTTAGTGAAGGCCTATGACTAGCAGTGAACGTCATGAACTGAAAAATAAATAACGCACACACTCATACACAATAGACAATCACAAATTACAACCAAACTCACGAGCGGGGCCTCTGCGTGGCAGACCAGCATGGTAGACGTTCAGCCACGGAGACAGTTGCAAAAGTAAAGGGTAGTAACAAATATATGAATGTTTGAAACAAATTAAAGTGACAAAGGCCTTATGACGATTGCATATAGTAATAAACCCTTCCCTTCAGGCGTACTAAGCGCTTTTCATCATATTTTATTATGCGCACAGCAGGAATGGAATTCCCTGCCTGCACTGTGTTTCCGAACTCATAGAACCCGAGTATCTGTAAGGTGCGAGTGAATAGGCATCTTCTGAGCGAGCTCGTTCCATCGTAGATCCTATCTTCACTCCAGAGCTAGGTAGTGGTCAAGAACAAGTCCATTTCATTTAAGAAAAAAAGCAGAAAACGCAGGAAGATAAAAATAGCCAGAAGACTACAATAATTATCTAGTTTAAAACCAGACAATTCCCAGCACTATGAATACCAGAGCATTACTCAGAACGCCCGAACTGAAACAAACTATTCGTAAGAAGTGATTAAATGTAATGTAATTTTACTACATTAAGTAGAGTAAATAAACTGTACCTACAATCAAGAAGGGGAACCAGGAGACCTAAGTTTAGTTAAGTTACAGGATATCCTAGTTTAGGCTCCTTTCTCTCGCTAATTTGAATACTGAAACTCTCTACTGTAACTTTGTACCTATATGTAAGAGAAAATGAAAATAGTATTATTATTATTATTATTTACTAAGAAAAATTCATTTCCCAAATTGATTGCAGCGGGAATCGAATCCGGGCCTCCACATCTAGCGCCCGCTGTGGTAACAGGGCCAACAAGGTCGCCCATATGACTAATAGACCAGTTATGTCTAGGTATGTTCATGTATTGATGTTAATTCGTCTCGTTTTTTTTATCGTAGAGTCACAATTGAAATTTGTCTAAAAATTTTAATTGAATTGATGTATTTTTTCGGATCTAAATCGCGTTTATTAAGTTTTTTTTCAAATAAACCAACGTATCGGGTCCTTTACAGGTTCCGTGGTCACAGCTGCCTGAGATGTTAAAATTATGAACCAGTTACTGCGGACGGTTGAACAGTTAACCTCTTTTAACTATTTCCAATTCAAAAATAATACTGGCCACTATCGTGACGAATTACTTGTTTATTGTGTTTTCAAAATTAGTGTACTTTTTATTTATTACGTCTTCCGCCATCTTGAAAGTAAACAAAGCTTTTAAGAAGGAGCAACGACTTTTTTTTAATATCTAACAAATCGTCGGAGATAATGCAAATCCGCGTATGTAGTATTGGTAAAAGACGCATATCTGCACCAAACCAAATTTCTCAGAAGAGGGATTTAACGTTATTACTTTGTTATTATAATGGCTACGATTTGCAGTTTTGCACAGTAAGCATTAATTTATGTTGTCTACGGACTGATAACAATAGATTCCCGTAAATCACGCTAATTTGGTTGCCACGAGATTTAGGCGGATTTAATTTGGCCACTAAATTACCGAATGGAGACTCATAATCAAACGCTAGTTTCGTGAAATTGCAGTATTCCCGACGAAATATAATATACTAAGTGAATTTTTACAATTCTGATATTTCAAATTGAAAAAAAAAAAGGAGACATGGTCGTCTTTTATTTCTTACTTCGGTTGATTACTTTACGTATGTCTAATATTTATAAAAACCACATTATTTTGTGCTATAGTTGTAAAGGTTATTTTTGCGTACTTGTTTTTTCAAATTAACCAACGTTTCGAGCCCTTAACAGTTTTTAATTTTTTTAAAAGATTGAACAGTGTTTAATTGATTATCCTCTTATGGTAAAGTTAATGAAAACCTCTCTATTTTTCGTAGTTAAAACCAATGGAACAAGCACACTAATAACCTGATCTCAAACAGGGAATTACGGAACCCTAAACACCCAGATCTATTTACGAAACTTCGTTTCCCAAAGTGGTCCTACCGGGAATCGATAATAATTTTCTAATTTTTATCGAAAAATGTATTGAAAAATTATCGAATTATCGAAAAATTATCGAATAATTTAAAATTTCTAATTTTCGGATAGTTGTCATAGATCTGTCACCAACATCGTCGTCATCAACCGATATATACGTCCCACTATTGGACACGGGTCTCCCTCAGGCAACGAATCCTAAACTCACGGCCTCTGCTTCAGAGAAGGTAGGTCGAACCATTATGCTATCACGGCTTTCATAGATCTGTACGGGTAGGAAATTTGGATGCTGACTTTAGGTGCTTAGGAGAAACACACCTGAAAATGTGTAATTAGATATGAATTAAAAAAAATCCGCTTCAAATACCTCGACTCTGGCTGTATTTGAAATTCAAATTTCGCGACATTGTTAAGATGAAACCGTGACAGGTATACATACATAAAGACGTAAATTTACATTTACATTTATCACTGTCACTGTCACTGTCACTGTCACTGTCACAGTCACTGTCACTGCCACTGTCGCTGTCGCTGTCACTGCCACTGTCACTGTCACTGTCACTGTCACTCACTATCACTATCACTACCACTACCACTATAACTACCACTGCCGCTACCGCTACCACTATCACTGTCATCACCATCACCATCATCATCATCATCATCATCATCAACAACAACATCATCATCATCATAATCACGTCCACAACCACAACCA